CTCCGCGGCCCTGACGCACTCCTCGCCATCCTCCTTCAGCATCTCCCTCCGGAAATCGTCCAGCATCTGAGCCACTCTCGGCGACACAGACCTCGCACTCACCGGCATTGAGCCAGGAGGGGGGAGAGCGACCCGCTCCCAATGGGCGGGAAACGTTTCGCCCCGGTCTGGTAGTCGTACCTGTCCACCAGCACACCTCCTCCGCAGCTCGGCCAACCGTTGGGTATAGGTCGACCGGGATTGATTCTCCGCCGCCGTAGCGGCGGGGCGCAGCCGCAAGATCGCGGCTTCTCGCTCGGGCGTCGAGGGAGGCGGTGGTAGGCGACGTACCTCCTCCAGCACACGCCTCGAGAGGTCCCCGTCCATGGTGCTGGGCAGTGGCCCCTGACCCCAGATCTCCCCAGGATGCAAACGCTCGTCGCCCAACGTCCCACGATAAAGCTGGCGGAGTCCCAGCAAGCACCGATTGGCCCGCTGCGTGATGTCCAGCTCCTCCCGCCAGCGTGAAAGCACCCGCCGTGAGCTCGACGTTGGCCTCTCCGGTCGTGGAATGAGCACCACCTCCGACAGGATGTCCCGCCTCCTCGACATGAATAGCCCAATTCGTCGTGCAGTAGATCACCTGCTGGAACCCGACGCTCTTGCCGAAGTCCCACAGACTCGAAAACCAGAAGTAGACGAGAAAACTTGACCGGCCACGGTGACGAGGCCGATCGCGTGCAGGGGCTCCTGGCGGACCTTCGCCAGTCAGCCCCGTGTGGCGTTCTCTGGGGCTCACGGCAGGCTCGCACCCCCGCCGTCCAGGTCCGTGCGCGCCTTGATCAACTGCGCATCTCGACCCATTGCCTTCTTCACCTCCTCCTCTGCACTCATGACCCTGATCGTGCTCTCGTCCGCCAGCTGCGGGTCCAAGCGCCGCGCCGCCTCCCAGTCGACCTTGGACTTCCAGCTCTTGGAGTCCTTGGGCCTGCTCCAGTCGTCGCGGCAGTGCACGTTGCGGTAGGCCCTCACCAAAGCGTAGCCCTTGCGCACCAGCCTCTCGAAGCTCACCTGGTTCAAGAGCCCCTTCTGGCGGTCCGTCATGAGCATGGTGTCCACGGCAGCGAACGTCGCGATCATCTCCCGCGCGGTGTTGCAGTCGGCGAGGCCGCGGTCCCGGATGTAGTCCCTCGCCCAAGCCTCCGCCGTCTTCCCCGTCGAGTAGACCTCCGAGAGCACGTCCGGGGCGATCCTCTCCCTGTAGCCCTCGGGCATCTTCGTCGCCCACTCGGATGCTGGGTACTCCTTGAAGTCCTCCAGCTGCTCCAAGAAGACCTGCTGCGGCATCTGAGCCTTGAACCTCATCCGCTTGATGGCCAAGGACACCGCCTCGGCAGGCTCCGAGGCAGCACGCTTGTCGGGAGTCTCCATCGGCACCGTTGCGTCCCCGCGCGCCGGCGAGGTGGGACCCTCCACCGCGCCCACAGGAGTGGCAGGTGCGGGTCCCGCGGCTGCCCCAGGGGATCCCGCCCCGGCACCTCCCTGCAGGCGAGCCTCGAACTCGTCGAGCCGACTCAGCATGGACTGGATCTGCAGCTGGTTGGCAGCCGCCACCTCGGCCCCGCGGTCCACGCTCGATGACACCATTGCCGATCGCCTCAGCTCCCGAGCCCGCTCGGCAATCCTGATCTCGTTCAGCTCCGCCGCCATCGCCCTCTGAGACTCGGCCAAGTCGTCCAACTGGGCCACGAGCGCGGCGTCGGGCGCAGCCACCACGGGCGGCGGAGCCGCGAAGGGTGGCGGCAAGGGAGCCCCCACGACCGCGGCCCCTCCGACGTCTCCGCCCACGGACGATGCAGAGGACGAGGCCACCGATGAATGACCTGCCTCCTCCACCTCCTGCATCTCGTGAGCTCCCCAGATCATGAGCAGGATGAGCGCCAGCAGCAAAGCCGCCCAGCGCCGCAGCGGCATGAGCTTCCGAGCCCACTCCAACCACTCGCCCCCGTAGGATACCCACTCCTGGATCGTCTCGGACGACTCGATGAGCGTGTCCCTGCAGGTCACCATCCAGCTCACAAAAGCGAGCCAGGTCTCCACGATCATGTCCACCACACCCAGATACTTCAGAGCTTCGAACAGCACGAAACCCAGCGCCAGCAAGCCCAGCACACGGTACGGCGAGCGCAGCGCCCACCGCAGAGTACGCAGTGAAGAGCGTGCAGAGCTGGCCACAGCGTAGACCACGTTGACGGCAACAGCCTGCTGGGCCTGACGACCCGGTCGATACAGCTCCAACGCGGGAATGGTACCTGCTCGCAGCCCGTCCGTAGCCTGCTGCATGAAGCTGTCCTTCTGCACCTGGCTGAGCGCTGGAAGCGCCTGCCAGCGTATGCCTGGCACGGGATCGGAGAAGACCGTCGTCTTCGCAGTGATCGTGATAGTCCCCATGGAGAGATCGGGCAGCAGGGCTGCCCAGCAATTTCCCGTCTTCCGTCGAACAAGGAAAATCTCCACACCATCCGTCGCGCTCCGGCGGTAGTAGCGCCTGCTCCATACCTCCACTGGCATCACCCGCTCTGGCGTGAACTCCTCACCTTCCAGCGGCTCCTCCTCGAGACTCGGCGGGTCGCGGACCACAGTCACGAGCGTCCAGAGGAACACCAGGAGCGGCCCGCCGCAGCGCGCCGTCGCGAGGATTCGACCCCCGCCCTCTGGCAGGCTCGGCGCCTGCCCCGCAAAGAAAACCGGGAGCTCCCCGCACTCTGAGCCCACCAGCTCCCAGGACGAGCCAGCAGAACATATCGCACTGCCCGCGCGAGAGGGAGAAGTCGAGCCGACTGAATCAAGCTCAAGCGAAATAGGCATGAACGCTTGAGCCCACAAAGAACTTGAGACGGAGAACACATGCATAACACGTTATACAGACGGCGCTTCAGCTGCTCCCCGCCCCCCCCCGATGTCCAAAGTAAAGGTCGGGGAGGGGGAAGGGGTGAGAGGTGGAGGCCCGAAAAATTCATTGTATCATATACAACACACAGATGACCCGCTTGGATTAGTAACATGATCCGCGGGCCCCATAGGGAGGGGGCTCCCGCTTGAGACGTCCTCGCAATTCACTCACAAATGTGGCCTGGGAATGGCGTTATGGCAGCGCGAGAGCCCAAAGTGGCGACAGTTACAGGAATTGGATGACCCGCTCGGATTAGTAACATGATCCGCGGGCCCCATAGGGAGGGGGCTCCCGCTTGAGACTTCCTCGCAATTCACTCACAAATGTGGCCTGGGAATGGCGTTCTGGCAGCGCGAGAGCCCACAAGTGTGGACAGTTACAAGAATTGGATGACCCGCTCGGATTAGTAACATGATCCGCGGGCCCCATAGGGAGGGGGCTCCCGCTTGACCTTCCTGGCGATTCACTCACAAATGTGGCCTGGGAAGGGCGTTCTGGCAGCGCGAGAGCCCAAAGGGGCGACGGTTACAGGAATTGGATGACCCGCTCGGATTAGTAACATGATCCGCGGGCCCCATAGGGAGGGGGCTCCCGCTTGAGACTTCCTCGCGATTCACTCACAAATGTGGCCTGGGAATGGCGTTCTGGCAGCGCGAGAGCCCAAAAGTGGCGACAGTTGTAAGAATTGGATGACCCGCTCGGATTAGTAACATGATCCGCGGGCCCCATAGGGAGGGGGGCTCCCGCTTGAAACTTCCGGGCAATTCACTCACAAATGTGGCCTGGGAATGGCGTTCTGGCAGCGCGAGAGCCCAACAATGGCGACAGTTACAGGAATTAGATGACCCGCTCGGATTAGTAACATGATCCGCGGGTCCCATAGGGAGGGGGCTCCCGCTTGAGACTTCCTCATAATTCACTCACAGACGAGGCCCAAGGCGAGTGAGTGAGTGAGTGAGTGAGTGACTGACTGACTGACTGGTGATGATGATGATGATCATCACACTCTCTCACGCGCACACTCATCATCATCGTATGTGAGTGCTGATGAGTCAGTGAGTGAGTGAGTGAGTGAGTGAGTGAGTGAGTGAGTAAGTGAGTGAGTGAGTGAGTGTGTGAGGAATGATGAGTGAGTGAGTGTGTGAGGAATGAGTGATGACGATGATGGTGGGTTCCTGTTCCTGCGCGGGGTGTCCAGAGAAAACAAGAACCCCACTTTGGATGTGGGGAATAAGAGAACGCAGAAGGGAGAGGCGGGGAGGATAATGCAGCGCCCCCTTTGGGAACTCTTGGGTCCTCTTGGGTCCTCTTGGGTCCTCTTGGGTCCTCTTGGGTCCTCTTGGATCTTGGGGCCATCTTGTGGCCATCCTGTGTTCTCTTGGGTCCTCTTGAGGCCATTTGGGGCCTTTGTGGTACTTTAGGGGCGTCTGGATGGGCTCGGGGCTATCTATGGGCGGTCTTGGGTCGTCTACTGGGCCATCTTGAGGTGCCTATCGTGTCGATGCACCGCGTTGATCGTATTAGCATCGTTAATTCGCACCGTTGATCGTGTCGATGCACCGCTATGGCGAACATGACTTAATGTAGCTCCACGGCCAATGCGTCACCAAACTCAGAGCTCCGATTCAGGGCACCCAGTCTTTCTCCTGGTCAACGCGTGCGTCTCAAGTTTCATTCTCAGAGGCCACCTTAGCCGCTTAGATAGATTCACGGCCCTACTGACACGTAGTTCGTCAAACGTAAGGTATAGCTTGCGATTTCAAGCCCTTCGTGGACATATTGATATGGAATTGTCTTGGTCCTTCTGCGTGGAATTGTGTGCCGAGTTAGTCAGATGGGGAGGTGGCCAGCACCACCCTCATCCCCCTCTTCTTTGGTGAGCGTCGCGAGGAGCTCATGTGATCTGGGGGACAGGATGTCCTTATAAGGCTAGCAGGTAAGTCTGGCCATCCTACAGGCCTGGGTCTTCACCAGGGCCATCTTCTGAACGCCTGGGCGTTGGGGTCAGCGTGTGGCCACGAATCGGCCGCATTGTCGCTGTTCTGCTGCTTCGGCCAGCGCTGGGGAGGTGGCCAACGCCAAGCAGCTCATCCGCGCCGAGATCGAACAGGACCAGCAGCAGCAGAAGCTCATTCCGATGATCGCCCCGGCGAGCCCCCTGCGGGGCAGAGGATGGAGAGGACGGGAGGAGGATCGATGATCGTACACCCACCTCACGTTGACGCAGAGCGCTGAATGTTGCCAGTTGGGGCCCTTGGGGCCGAAGGCACGCCTACAGTCAAAGAGGAACCCACTACATAATAATTCGCAGGTTTGTGCGGACCTCCGAACGTTTCTCTTTACTTGCTGTATTCTTCAAAGGCAGGACGTTATAAGACGGGCCACTTTGATTTGGTAGGGTTTCCAGGTTCCTCGTGGGTCCTGAGGTTGTTCTTCGGACTTTCCTGCAAATCTAGGCGCAATCGGGGTTCAAAGGGGGACTTCGTTCCCTGTGTAAGATTACTCCTGTCGAGAGTGTGATTGTATCCTCGTGAATTAGAGAGATCCCGAAGTCGATCTAAGCTGCCCGCCTTGGCTCCCCTGAGGTGGCGAATCAGTTCAGTCTGCGGCGTTCTGGGTATCTGCAGCCCCAGGCAGAGCTCTGTGCGTGCTCGATCGATTCAGAGGTTAGCCCATGAGAATTGAATCGTGACAAATGTTTGTTTGGACCGAATCTAGTTTTCATCGATCTGGTTAAGCGCAGTACTCAGTAGGAGGAGGAGGAGTAGAAGGAGGAGCCAGACACCATGAAACCTAGACATCCGCCGATTTGTTTTTTAAGTTCGTGGCCACAAAACCCCCGACCCGTGCCCCAGAGACAGGTTTTCGCACTGAATCCATTTCTGTTGGCCCCAGGGGTCCAGCACAGCCCCCGCAGGCCGAGACTGAGGAAAAATGCCGGGATTGAAAACGCTACAGCCAGGAACTTTGGCTTAGCGTGTCGTTCCTCCGGTTCTGGCCCACCACGCCTCGGTGCGACATGCTATCCAATTCCTGGTCCCCAAGCGTCAACGTCCCGAGCTTTTCGGAGCCACCCGCCTCGCGGAGCGGAGCGACACGCTATCCGCTCACATGGCATTGCGTGTCGCCTGTGCCGCCGCGGTGACACGCTACGCAACAGTCTCCGACCTTAGTCCTTCGAAGTTCTGGGAAGGGAAGGGGCGCGCAGGTGAGGGAGCCGATGGTCGTCCCGGCGCACCAGCCGAACTCGTTCCCGGCGACATTGTCGGAGTCGATCGCGCGCGCCAAAGCGGCGGCGCAGGCGGTCAGCGCCGGCCTGATAACGAGGAGGGGGCGCGCTCGAGGGAGCTCGTCGTCGTCGTCGTCGTCGTCGTCGTCGTCGTCGTCGTCGTCCTCCGCTACCTGCAAGCACGCGTGTATGCGTTGTTCTGGCAGGTTGCCTCCTGAGGCCCGAGCGCAGTTCCGAATCGGCCCGCTCCGATCCTCCTCCCCTTCCTCCTCGGCGGGCAACGAAGATTACCCAGCGAGCGTACACGCGGGCAGCATTGTGTGTGCGTTTGTTTGTTAGTCTGTCTGTCTGTCTGTCTGTCTGTCTGTCTGTCTGTCCGTCCGTCTGTCTGTCTGTCTGTCTGTCTGTCTGTCTGTCTGTTTGTCTGTCTGTCTGTCTGTCTGTCTGTCTGTTTGTCTGTTTGTCTGTTCGTTTGTTCGTTTGTTCGTTTGCTTGCTTGTTTGTGTGCATGCATGCCGGTCGCATTGGCTCCGCGGATCCCTCCTGCTGGCGCTCCGCCCTCCGTCCCGCCCTCGCCGCCGCCCTGGCGCCTCTTTGGTGGTGGCTCTCCCCGCCCCCACCGGCCCCTTCGGCATGCGGCCTCGCCGCCCCGCCGCCCGCCCAACTTTGGCGCGCTCCTTGCCCGCTGCTGCCCCCGCCCCCGCCCCCCCGGCCTGCTGCCCGCCGCCCTGCCCCGCCGCCCTGGCCCCGCTGCCGCTCGCCCCGCCTCCGCCCTGCGCCCGCCGGCCCGGCCGCCGCTGCGGCCAGCGCCCCGCGAGATGGCCGGCCATTCCACTTCTCTTGGGGCGCACGCGCGTCGGCGATTTCTCTGAACGCCATGGAGTTGCTCCTGGCCGCTGACGCTCGACAAGTGTGCGTGTGCGTGTGCGTGTGTGTGTGTGTGTGCGTGAGTGTGTGTGTGTGTGTGTGTGTGTGTGTGTGTGTGTGCGTGCGTGTGTGTGTGTGTGTGTGTGTGTGTGTGTGTGTGTGTGTGTGTGTGTGTGTGTGTGTCTGTGTCTGTGTGTGTGTGTGTCTGTGTGTGTGTGTGTGTGTCTGTGTGTGTCTGTGTGTGTGGATGCGCGTGCGGCGTGCTATCACTCCCGCGCCGTCCCTGGGCGTAGGCGTGCTATCACCCCCGCGCAGTCCCTGGGCGTAGTTCACACACGTACATCTGCTCAGCTGCTGACCCTCCCAGTAAGAGGTTGGTTTCTGGGTGATGTCCGTTCTTTGAATGAAAGTGCGCTGTGGCTGATGAATGGGGGGTTGCAGCTCCGCGCAAGCCTGCCGTGCAACGCCTGCTGCCCTCCCGCACGAGCTGATCCCAGCACTGTGGCTTTATATCAAGGGAGGAAAAACCACCCAGATCCCAACAATGAACGTTCATTAAACAGCCCTGGGCGTTTACCAGGCAGCCCTGCACTGTTCGATTCCTTCCTTGGGCGCGTTTTCTAAACGGCTTCGCTTGTAGGGGTGCTTACTATGGGGGTGGGTTTTTGCCCTGTAGGATACGCTGGCTCTCGCGTCGCCTTTCCTCTCGGTCTGATCCCAGCGTCTGCTTCCTCGCCAAGAGCGGCGCACATCTTGCACGCGGCACAAGAACCTGCACAACAATGACCTCTCCTCAGGGGGTCCGCGCGGATCTCTGAGCTCGCGCTGGCTCTCGCGTCGCCTTTCCTCTCGGCCTGATCCCGGCGTCTGCTTCCTCGCCTCGCCCAGAGCGGCGCACACCCCGCACGCGGCACCAGAACCTGCACGTCCATGATCTCTCCTCGGAGGTCCGCCCGGTTCTGTGGGACCGCCCGAGTCCCCCCCCCCCCTGGCACCGCCCCTGGCGCGCTGGGGGGGGAGGGGGGCAGCGCTGATCCGCGAGATCCGGGCGGGCCTCCGAAGGTTGATGCTCCTGCTGATCCTTCTCCCCCTGCCCACGGCGGGCGGGGGCAGGGACCAGCCGTTCGTGCCGTCCATGGGCCCGCCGCCCGCGCCCTCGCACCTGCCCATGCGGACGGCCCCGGTCAGCCAGGGCATCGCAGCGAACATGCCCGGGCGGCCGTCGGCGACTCAGACGTCGCCCGAGAGGGCGACCTGGCAGCCTCAGCGCGATGTCGCGGATCGCGCCTCTGTTCGGATGCAGCTCCTGTGAGGTCGAATTCTGATTTTGCCCTTGTCCGAAGTCCAGTTTGATCCGGCTTGATCCGGCTTGATCCCGCTTAAACCCGGTTAATCCAACTTAATCCCGCTGAATCCGTGGCCTACCTAATCCGGCGTAGCCGCCCCCAATCGGTGCCTAATCTTCTTTAATCTTTCCAGCGAAGACCTCTCAGTAGATGCCTCCTAACCTCTGAGTCCCCAGATCTTCGACGATAGATAATTCACCCAGGCGTTTTTCCTCGGCTCAGGCCTCCTGTTACGTACCGCGCCCTGGGACCATCGAGCTTGGATCTGGGACAAGGCACTGCTCCCAGGGAAGTGGTCGAGACCTCTCGGGCGCGGATTGGAAAAATCACATCGTCGGATGTCTGGGTCTGCTACCCAGGGCAGTGCGCAAACAAGGATGTACAAGGGTCCAGTTCCTTGGCTTGCCCTTCCTCTTCTGAGTGGTACTTCTGCTCAGCAGCCCGCTTTCAGGCGGATCTGGCCCCAGCGATTCGACGACGGGAGGCTGGGAGGGGGAGGTCGAGCCGTCGGAGAACGGTCGGCCGGACGCTGGCTAACAGCAGTCGGTCGTGCTGAACCGTCTCTGTGTGTGCAGATGCTTGGGGTAATGTGCGCTCACAGGCTCTGAGGACCATGGGCAGCAAACGGCTTACGGTCGTACCGAGGTCTAAGATCGAGGTCGGTTCGGGGAGGGTACCCTAGTGTTCTTCGTGTTTGTCGGGTGTTATTGTGCATCCTGGGGAGGATACCCTTGGATGTTCTGTTTGTCTTGTCCGACCGAGGGTCTCATGCTCTTGAGGGATGATTTCCTGGCCCAGGTCCGACTAGCGATCCTCAGGCCACTGGATGGCCGTCAAGTTCCAGGGAGCAAGTCGGCGTCGCCGCCGTTCTCGTCGAAGAGGGAAGGGAGGGGGCGCTGGCGAGGGGCAGGAGAGAGGGCCCTAACGTTGATTCGTCCAGCGTCTGGGTGGCACCCTCATCGCCACGGCTGGAGATCGGCGGCGAGCGAGGGGGGGAAGCGAGAAGGAGAAGGCCTTCTCAGAAGGCGGCGGGACTTATCAGAAGCCCTCGCGTCTTCTGAGAGGTTAGCTGTGTCTTCGGGGATGGCTCAGAAAACTTCTCAGAAGGCCAGGGGCCTTCGAGATCTGAGAAGGCCCGCCCCTTCTCACTTCCCCTCCGGGCTCGCCGCCGATATTGTGTGCTTCCGACTGATGGCGAAAGGCTTCTGGTGCTGCCCACCATTGGTTGTTGGAAGGCCTGTGGTGCCCGTCAGCGCCAGCCCAGTCCTCCTTTCAGCGCCCACCCGGTCCCTTCCGTGAGGACCTCGCATTTCCCCCCGTTGCGGGGAAGCGGGTGGATGGGCCGCCCCCCCCGGCGCTGCATATGCTACATGACATTTCGTTTTGTCGTGGACAACATGGTAGATGATCCCTCCCCTCCCTTCCCCTCCCTCGGCGCCCACCACCTTCGCACCTTCGCTCTCCTCCCTCCCCAGCCTCTGCGCTCGTCCTGGTCCCCGAGTGTCGTTCCCTCCTCTGCCTCCGGCTGCCGCTGCTCTCCCGGGTCGTCCACCGCGCGGGCCTTTTGGCGGGGTCGGGCATGCTTGCGCAGATTGTTATAGAATCCCTGCCCATGGAGCCGGAGCCAGCGACGGGTCGTTCTGCCTTGCTCCTCGCCTTGTCGACGCCGGCGTGCTGTTGTACATACACTCACGCATGCGATCTGCAACCGATGTATCGTCTAGGCACCGTTCACTTGACTTGATTTGACCTCGAATACAGACATGGGTCATAACTATTTTCCGCTGCTGTAGGGGAAGGGGGGTCTCCGAGATCCTGCTACGTGCACGTGCCTCGGATCTGCATCGCGAGCTCTTTTCACTTGGCTCTTGATGCGAATGGCACGCGCACGAGCCAAAAAGGAAGGCGACGTGGGGTTGGACAAGGGGAAGGACACAGATGCACCTCATTCCTCCCCCACCCCCAGGAAAGGGTAAATCAATCAGAGTATGAGGTGAGAAGGAGGAGGAATGAGGTGGACCTGCATAATTGTCCGATTCCTGAGGTGGGCGAATCAGGAGGCCGGGGGGGCAAGCTCAAGACCACGAGCAGTAATTTGGCGAGCGGACTCCTTTCGAGCGCAGGCTCCACGAGCGCGAATTCAGTTTGGGGAATTTCGCATGCAGGGACTCTGCAATCATGAATTTCATAAGGAAATCCACGGTTGTTAGGTTGGCACGCAGTCCTGGAGGCGAATCCAGCTAGATCCTTGCGTGGGACGCCGAACCACCTTTGCGTTTCTCGCAATGATTTGTGTTTCTCTTGCTGCTCGCGCTCGGAGGTGTCGCTTGAGGCAGGCACAACAAAGCCAACACATGCGCGATAGGGAGCTCCGCGAAGATGAAACTCACAAGCGTGAGTTCCGTGCAGAGTGCCCAGAGCGTGAGAGGCGCAATGATCTCCCTGGGCGTTGAACACCTACAAGCGTGAACTCCACGTGAGTGAATTCCGCGAGCGTGAAGGTCACCAATAAATCTGACCAGGATTTCAAGGTGAACCCAGCCGCGGTGACGATGCGCCAGGAGGCCCAAACAGGTAGAGGGAAGCCCAAATTCCGGATGACGAGTCCTCTCTTCCTCCTTCTCTCCCTGCCCCTCCTTCCCCTTCCCTCTCCTTCCCTCTCCTCCCCTCCCCTCCCCTCCCCTCTCCTCCCCTCTCCTCCCCTCCCCTCCCTCCCTCCCACCGCTCCCCTCCCACCCCTCCCCTCCCTCCCTCCGCTCCCCTCCCAGACATACTGCGTGTCGAAGTTTCGAGACATGGAGCCCCAGACTTCCGGACCCATTCCTGGGATTCCTTGAGGCCGCTTCTCGTCCCGAGCAGCGTTGACGGTCCCTTTGGGCCCGAACAGAAATGCCTCCAGAGGCCCCCCCCACCGAGGTTCGGCGGCGCGTCGAGGGGGGAAGTGAGAAGGAGAAGTACTTCTCAGAAGGCTCGGAAGTCCCGCGGCCTGCGCGTGTCTCGTTGTGCTCCTCTGTCTGTGCATCGCTCGCTAGAGATAGCCCTCCTGAGGGGCCGCGGATTTCTCGATGTGCCCCTCCTGTCTGTTTTCGACGGGAATGATACTTGGCATCGCCCAGACGTGCGAAACGGAGACCGAAGCATGCACGGGACCGAAGCATGCACGGGGCATGGACCCCCGAGCGATGGCAAGAAGAGCGCCTCCGAAGGTCTGCCCCCGTCCCTCGGGCAGCACGCCTCCTCCTCCTCCTCCTTTCCTCCTTCTCTATTCTCTTCCTCCTTCTCATCGATCCTCGTCGTCGTCCTCCTCGATCCTCCTCCTAATCCTCTTCCTCCTCCTCTTCCTCCTCGATCCTCCTCCTCCTCCTCGTCCTCTTCCTCCTCGATCCTCCTCCTCATCCTTTCCTCTTCCTCTCCTCCTCGATTCTCCTCCTCCCCTCCTCCTCCTCCTCCTCTCCTCCTCGATGCTTCTTACCCTCCTCCTCCTCGATCCTCCTCCTCCTCGATCCTCCTCCTCTCCTCGAGTCGTGCCCCCCCCTCCACCTCCAGTTCAGGGCCGGGCCGCCTGTGCCAGGATGTCCGCATCCGCCGGGGGTGGGGGGGGCAGCTGGCGGTCGGGCCTCCGAGGTCGATCATGGTGCGGCCCTCGATGATGCCGCCGCCGCAGTTCGCCGGCGCCCTCAGCACGCCGCGCCGTTTGGGCGTCGCTTCATGTGGGGGCGATGGATGGGGGGGTGGAAGCAAGGTGCGCTCTTCGGGCCCTGGAAGCTCCCTTTGGGGCCCCAGAGGGCGCCTTCAGGGGCCCTGGAGGGCTCCGTTTCGGCAGCCCTCGCTGCCCCCCCACTAATCCCCCCCCCATGACGCGTGGCCCTCAGCACGCCCTCGCCTTCGTCGCCGATAAATTCGGCGCTGGAATTCCGATCGATGGGTCGATCGCCGCGGCGTCGTCGCCGATCGATCGACGCTGGAATTCCAATCGATCGATCGATCGATCGCTCGAGGAAGCAGCTCGGTCTACCGATCGCCGCACCGTCGTCGCCGATCGATCGATCGATCGTCGCCGATCGATCGACGCCGTCGTCGCCGATTGGTCAACCGAGCTGTTTCCTCGAATTTGAGCATCTGTTGGAAGTTTTTGGTTTCTGGGTCAATCAGACATGGGCACAGGACAAAAGAGTGTCCCCGGGCGAGGGGTCGAAGCTTCTGGGCCGAGCCTTCTGAGAAGGTGATGATGACGATGACGATGACGACAACGACGACGATGACGATGATGATGATGACGATGACGACGATGATTATGATGAGGAGGAGGATGAGGATGAGGATGAGGATGAGGATGAGGATGAGGATGAGGATGATGATGATGATGCTGATGATGATGATGATGATGATGATGATGCTGATGATGATGATGCTGATGACGGTGATGATGATGACGATGATGATGGTGATGGTGATGGTGATGGTGATAATGCTGATGCTGAGGCTGAGGCTGAGGCTGATGCTGCTGCTGATGATGATGATGATGGTGACGGTGATGGTGATGGTGATGATGATGATGATGATGATGATGATGATGATGATGATGATGACACTGCTGCTGACGATGATGATGATGACGATGATGATGATGATGATGATGATGCTGATGATGATGATGATGATGATGATGGTGGTGGTGGTGGTGATGATGATGATGATGCTGATGCTGCTGATGATGATGATGCTGATGCTGATACTGATGCTGATGCTCATGATGATGCTGCTGCTGCTGATGATGATGATGATGATGATGATGATGATGATAATAATGCACTATAGAGCGATTCTCGCCCACCGGCGCCGGCACCGGCACCGGCATGGCACCGGCACCGGCGCCAGCACCACTTCGAGAATGGTGGTTCTTATGCTAGTTGCACCATAGGTACAGCTAGGTAGAAGATACTTATAGCAAGGGATAAGTACCTAAGTATTTCTAACTATTTCTATGTGCCCTTAAGTATTTGTCTTGTCGCATAACTATACTTAGGTTAGTTATAAGTATTTCGCTGATTATTAATGACGCTGGAAGATACTTATAACTACCGCTAAGTTACTTACCCGTGCTGAGATGCAATATTTATAAGTAACATATATGTTACTTATAAGTAACTTATAACTTCCTTCCATCCCTCCTTCGCTTCTCTTCCCCTCCCGCCGCGCGCCCGCCCGCCGCGCCGCAGGGACGTCGCGGCCCGCGGCCCCCACGCAGAAGAGGACGAGAAGGAGGGCGAGGATGAGGACGAGGAGGAGGAGGAGGAGGGGGAGGAGGGATGAGGAGGAGGAGGTGGATGTAGTTTTCAGGAACGATTTTCGGATTTGGGGGAATCTTTTTTTGGATTTGGTGAGGTTTTCTGGATTTGGGGAGGTTACCTGGATTTGAAGAGGTTTTTCAGGATTTGGGATTTGCCCATCGACCTGGAGCTCGTCGCGGCGCCGCCTGGTGGGTGCTCGCCGCGGTAGCGATGGCGATCGCTTGGGTGGGGAGGAGGGGGATGGGGAAGGTAGCGATGTCGATCGCTTGGATGGGGAGGAGGAGGAGAAGCGATGGCGATCGCTTGGGTGAGGAGGAGGGGGATGAGGAAGGTAGCGATGGCGATCGCTTGGGGGAGGAGGAGGAGGAGGAGGAGGAGGAGGAGGAGGAGGAGGAGGAGGAGGAGAAGCGATGGCGATCGCTGGGGGAGGTGAAGCGATGTCGATCGCTTGGAAGGAGGAGGATGAGGACGGGAAGGAGGAAGAGAAGCGATGGTGATCGCTTGGGGGAGGGCGGGGTGGGGGGAAGAGGACGAGGGGATAGCGATTACGATCGCTGGTCTTTTGTTTTCGCGCTTGCGGGCGCGCGGCGCGCTCCGCGCTTGCGGGCGCGCGGCCTCGCCGCGGAGGCGAAGTCGACGGCGGCGGCATTTGCGCCTTCGCCGCCGCTGGCGCCGCTGGCGGCGCTGGCGGCGCCTTCGCCGCCGCTGGCGCTTTCGCCGCGGCGCGCGCCGCCTTGGCCTTCGCCGCCTTCGCCGCCGCCTTCGCCTTCGCCGCCGCCCCCTTCGCCTTCTTCTCCTTTTTCTCCTTCTTCTTCTTCTTCTTCTTCTTTTTTTTCCGCCTTCTCCGCCCTCAGCTGCGCATTTTCCGCCTGAAGGCGCGCCTGCTCCTCCCTCCGCAGCAGCTGCGCCCCCTGCGCCTCCTTCCTCAGCTGCGCGTTCTCCGCATTCAGCTCCGCCTCCCGCCGCAGCGCCGCGTCCCTCTCGCCGATCGCGATCGCTAGCTCGCGCTCCGCCTCATTCGTCGTCGTCGTCGCCGCCGCCGTCGTCGTCGTCTCGTCGTCATCGTTTCCCGCCTCCTCCAGCCACAGCGAGAGCTGCGCGGCGCGCTCTGTCTGCTCCGCGTTGACAGTCTGCAGAGGCGGGGGGAGGGGGAGAGGGGCGGTGGAGTGAAGGGAGGAGGGGGTGGGGGGAGGGGCGAGGAGGGGGAGGAGGGGGAAGGATGAGGTGGAGGAGGAGGAGGAAGGGGAGGAAGCGGAGGAGGAGGATTCGGGGGAGAGCGATGGCGATCGCTGGGAGGAGGGGGTATCCGCCTCCGCGAGCTGCTGCAGCAGGTTGTCGCGCTGGCGCCTGAGCGCCAAAGCGCGAGCCCCCTGCGCGAGCTCGCGCGGAGCACCCCACATCGCGCCTCCGCGCCCCGCGCGCGCGAGCCCCGCGCGCCTCCACGAGGCAGAGCGGCTGCGCGCGGCGCTCAGTGATCTCCTTTATCATCATCCACCTTCCTTTCAGCGATCGACATCGCTTTCCTTCTCCTCATCTTTTTTCCTTCTCCTCATCGTCATCGCCGTCGCTTCACCTCCCCCAGAAGGAGGAGGAGGGGCGACGGGGGGAACAGCGATGGCGACCGCTTGGGGGAGGGGGGGAGGGGGGAGTAGGACGTGCACGGACCGAACCCTACGGGTTGCAAAAACAAGAGAGGAGGAGGAGGAGGTGGAGGAGGGATCATAGGAGGAGGGGGAGGGACGGGGGATGTAGCGATGGCGATCGCTTGTGTGAGGAGGAGGGGGATGGGGGGAGGTTGCGATGGCGATCGCTTGGAGGAGGAGTAGGAGGAGAAGGAGAAGCGACAGCGATCGCTTGGGGGAGGGCGGGGAGGAGGAGGGAGAAGCAGAGAAGCGATACCGATCGCTAACTTAAGTAGGCGGCAATCGTTTTGAACGATCGCTGTGCATAGCCGTTGTCGGCTTTGTAGTCGCGGGTGACGCCCGCGTGCGCGACGCGAGTGACGCCCGCGGGCGCCATGGCGGCCGACCTGGTGAAGCAGCTGAAGGCCGCCAAGTCGGTCCTCGCCCAGATCGGGAAGAAGTCCGACGCGTACAAGGAGATCGCGGAGGCGCAGAGCGCCATGGCGATGGCCATCATGGCGCCGTGGGCCTTCATCTCCGCCGAGGATTCGGCCATGCTGGTCCTGGAGATCGGCCAGATGCCTTTCGGCAAGAGGGCGCTTGCCACGCTGCTCGGCCGCGTCACGACGTTGGCGACGGCCTCAGCGCAAATGTTGGCCGCTAACGCGGCCGCAAGCGCGGAGCTGGCGGGGTCGGGCAGGACGCCGATGCAGGACTTCTCGTCCATCCTCGCCTACCTCACGAAGAGGCAGTGGGACAAGATCCTGGACGAGCGCAACGACTTCATGGGTCGGGTTGCGGTCGTCCTGCAGGCTTGCAAATCCCTCGGGTGGCGCACGCTGCATGAGCCGACGGTTCAACTGGCGGCGTGCGTCGCCCTCCTCGTGGACGGCTTCGATTGGACGATGCGCATGTGTCCGATGGCACAGTGGGGCTATTTCAAGCGGGCGAACACATACGCCAAGAAGCTCCTGCCGTGGAAGTTGTGTAAGCAGCTTGCCGCGACCGAGCCGTCCTTCGTCAGCGAGCTCCCTGCGGACCCGACTGACATGCCGAAGGTGCACCCCGAGTGGTACTCGCGCGCGTATGGTGGCGGAGGGGAGGCCCCAGCAAACGAGTGCCCGCTGGACCGCACCATGTTGATGGTGCTGTGCGACGCGGTCCCGATGCGAGAGTCCAAGGCTCGCCTCAAGGCCACGTCCGATGGCAATCGGTCGTCCGTCGACATGGCGTTGCAGCTCGCGGAAAGGGCGATGGCGATGCAGGGTGGCGGCCGCCAAGGTGCGCGAGACGGCGTGCCATGCAGGCGTTGCACTCCGCAGCCCATTGCGCCCGCCACGGACGGCGCGATTCCGATCGGCGACACGGAGTCGGCGCCGCCGCCGACGACGCACAGCGTGGAGGAGGCCAGGGACAAGATCTTCGCGAAGCTCGGCGGCAAACAACGCCTGCCAGATGTGGCCAAGACGCCGCCGAGCGAAGACGAGTCGGAGGGCAGCGACGGGGGCGACTCCGATAACAAGAGCGCCGACGGCGTGGAGGAGGCGGAGCCGCCGCCGCCGATGAAGAAGAAGCGCAAGGCCGCTGGCGACGGCCACCCCGCGCCCCCCAAAGCCAAGGCCAATGCGAAGAGGAAGAACAAGAAGAAGAAGAAGACTGAGGCCGAGCACGTGGGCGCGAAGGGGGTCAAGAAACCACCGAAACCCGCATGTGCGGTGGAATGGTCCCGCAACCAGGTCATGTGCCGCACGGGTACGAAAGGTCCAGGCCAGTCGACGGCCATCAAGTTCAGCGACCACGGCGGCAGCAGCGACAAGGCGATCGCTGCGGCTAAGAAGTGGGCGCGCAAACAGGAGAAGAAGCTCGGCATCCACACTTGATCGGCAGGGGTGCTGCGACGATGCAGCCTGCATGCGTGTGCTCGCACACGACTAGATAGCCGATTATGGCTATGAATAGGGAGTGGTGGAGGAGGGGCAGCGATGATGATCGCTTGGTGTAGGGATGGTTGTTCGGGGGGGTGCAGGGATGGAGTTGCAGGACAGCGATGGGGATCGCTTGAGGTCGGTTGGGCAGGGCAGCGATGATGATCGATTGTGGTTGCAGGGATTGTAGATTAGTTTGCAGCGAGTGCAGATTGCAGCGATGGCGATCGCTTGGGGATTTCAGCGAGTGGAATTGCAGCTGTCGTGGAGATGGTGATGGAGATTGCAGCGATGGCGATCGCTAGAGTGGACGTGGTGATGGGAGGGGAGGTGGATGAGGTGGAAGAGCAAGAGGCGGAGGAGCGATGGCGATCGCTGGGCATGTGCGCACATTGCGCACATCATTGCATGCATCACACTAGCCATTTGGGGCCCAGCAGGTGGCGCGCCAGCGCCTACACCAGGCCCAGCGCCTACACCTGCGCCTGCACCAGCGCCGCCATGGCGCCGCCCCACAGCCGCGGCCGTCGCGATGCCGCCGAGGAGTTCTTCGCCTTCGCGAACGAGGCCGCGGACGTCTTCGCAAACGCGGCGTTGGCTGCTCATGAGGAGGCGCCGCCCGAGGCCGCGGAGGAGCACGGGGAGGAGGCGCCGCCCGAGGCCGCGGAGGAGCAGGAGTCTCCTTTAACAGAGGCCGCCGAGAAGGAGCAGGAGGAGGCGTCCGAGGCGGGTGCGGAGGCCGAGACGCACGATGCGTCAGACGTGCTCCTGGAGATTGCGGCGTCGCCAGGCGAGGAGGGCGCGGAGGTCGAGGAACCCGCGGCGGCGGCGGCGGCGGAGGAGCAGGCGGCGGAGGAGGAGGAGGAGGAGGCGGTGCCTCGCGAGGAGGTGCCCCTCGTCGAGGTCGTGTCCTCGCCGCAGGCGCGCGATCCTCGCGACAGCCGCTCGTCGGGCGGCCAGTCGGGCCGCTCGTCGCTGTCGCTCAGCGCGCCGCGGCCGTGCGTCTCGCGCCGCGATTTGGCGGCCGTGCGTCAGGCGGCAGCGGCTGCGGCGGCCGAGGAGTCAGCGGCCGCGCCGCCAGCGGCGGCCCCCGCGCCGCCCGCGCCGACGGCCGCGGAGCGCTCGCGGAGCCGCAGCCCGCGCGCCCTCGACCCGCGCGCCAAGGGGTCGCAATGGCCTCGGGTGCCGCCCCACCCGCCTCGGGTGCCGCCCCCCCCCCCCTGAGGCCGTGGCCGAGGCGGCGTGGGCGAGGGTCTACGAGGAGCGCGCGGCTGGCCAGGGGGCGGGCTACACCGAGGAGCAGGTCGCCGACCTGCGCGGCGAGGCTGCGGCGGCGAAGGCCCCCGGCTTGCAGCGGTGGCAGCGCGGCCCTGCGGGTCCAGCCGAGGGGGGGCCCGAGACGTGGCGCGGCCAGCGGCGCCGCGCTAACACCAAGCAGTGGGCCAACCGCGGGGGGGGGAACAGGGGGTACTTCGCGAAGAAGCACGGCGGCGGCGCGCCAGGCAAGGTCCCCGCTGGGTCGCGCCCCGACCCCCGCAGCGGCGTCAAGGGCGGCGGCAAGGGCGGCGGCAAGGGCGATTCCCTGGCTCCTCCCCCCGCGGGGCCGCCCCCGCCCGCCGCGGCGCCGCGCGCGGTGCGCCCGCGCATTGCGTCGCCCGCGCGCCCGCTGGCAACGGCGCCGACGCCAGGGGCAGCGCCGAGGCCATCGACAGCGCCGCTGCCGCCGTGGCGCAGAGGCGCCCCCGCCGCCGTCCCGCCGCCGTCGCGGCTGACGTGAGGCGCGCGGCGCCCTGGCGCGGCGCCGCTGGCGCCTGCGCTGCAGGCGCGGAGCGCTGGGGGTGCGGCGCCTCTTCGCGCCTTGGGCGCGCATAAGCGATCTGCATGCGCTTGCTGCTCCAGGCGCTGTGGCAAAACGATCTCTTGTGTACGCGCAGAGATTGTTTGTAATCGCGATTACGACCGCTTGTGTGTGCAATAGCGATTACGATCGCTTGTGTGTGCAATAGCGATTACGATCGCTGAGGGGATGGGAGGTGTCGCTGAAGGGATGTGAGGATGAGGACCGACGACTAACGATTACGATGTGTGGATGGGGATGTGAGGATGGGGATGGCTATTACGATCGCTGGCTGAGGGGATGTGACGACTTGTGGCGACGACTGACAAAGGCGACGACCGACGACGACAAAATTGGGCGGGGGAGCGATTCCGATCGCTGGCCGTGTGCTCACAGTGCACGCATCATTGCACGCATTGCATGGCCATTGTCGGCTCCACGCGTAGCGCGCCCATCGGAGCGGATCGCCTGCGCCCAGCGGGGCGTGTCTCCATCGGCGCCCGCCCGCGCCGACGCCAGCGCCGACACGAGCGCCGTCGTCAGCACCGACGCCAGCTCCGTCGCCAGCACCGACCATGTCGTCCGACGTCGCGGCAGCCTGCCCCGTCAAGACAGAGGAGGAGTGGTGCACGGTCGGCTGCCCCGTCAGCAACTGCAAGGCCAAGTGCTACAAGGAGAGCCACGCGGAGTGCTTGGAGTGGCTCTTCAACCACTTGGCGACGTCGACGGCGGAGAGCCACAAGTTTCTCAAGACGGCGAGCGGGCCCAACTTAGAGGAGATCAACCGCCTCCTGGACGACGCCAACGCGGAGCGCCTCAGCGACAGCGAGGTGGCGGCGTGGCAGAAGCACCAGGCCGAGAAGGCGGCGGCAACCGCGGCCAACCCCTACAAGACGGCGCCCGCCGCAAGCGCAGGGGCCGCCGCCGCGGCCGCCGCCAGCGCAGGGGCCGCCAGCAGTCGCGGGCGCGATCGCCGCGCGCGATCGCCTGCGCGCAGGCGCAGCCGCAGCCGCAGCCACCGCAGCCACCGCGGCCGCCCCGCGCCGCGCACGCCGCCCCGCGGCCGCGGAGACGACCGCGCCCCCGCGGCGGCGGCCAGCCTGGCGACTGCGGCGGCGCACAAGCTGCAGCAGACGGCGGAGCAGCTGCAGCAGCAGCAGCAGCAGATGCGGCAGCAGCAGCAGCATATACAGCAGCAGCAGCAGCAGCTACAGCAGCATATGCAGTTGCGGGTGCAATCGACTGCAGGCCTGACGGGGAAGGCTGCGCCGTCCGCGGCGCCCGCGGCGATGAACCTGATCATGGCGCCCATGACAGGAGACGTCTCGCTGCCCGACGTGCCCCCCGAGACCGAGTTCAGGCTCAGCAAGGCGCGGGCCGATGCGCTCATGGACTGCCTGAAGCGGGCGGAGCGCTGCGCCAAGGTGGCGAAGGAGACGTGCCTCAAGGCGTCTCAGGCGTTCGAGCAGGAGGAGGCGTCCCTGAGGGCGGCGAGGGAGCAGGTCGCCGAGACGATGGGCGCGTCGGTGCAGCTCAGCGGGCTCTGAACAGTGGCAGCGGGCTTTGGCGCTGCTCAGCGGGCTCTGGCGCTTCTCAGCGACATGCGGGAGGCGACCCTGGAGCCCGACATCATCTTCGTCGCGGCTCGCTGGCGCTCTGTGGCGTTCGCCGCCTGCGGCCGCGGCCGCGGATCGCGCCGCCGCATGCTTATGAATATGAAATGAGGAGAAGGAGCAGGAGAATGAGGATGATAGCGATGTCGATCGCTGGGTGGGGGGTGGGGGGTAGCGATGTCGATCGCTTGGAGGAGGATAAGAAGGAGGAGGAGGATAGCGATGTCGATCGCTGGGGGAGAGGGGATAGCGATGTCGATCGCTGGGGGGAGGAGACGAAGGAGGAGGAGGAGGAGAAGGATACCGATGTCGATCGCTGGGGGTGAGGGGGGATAGCAATGCCGATCGCTGGGGGGAGGAGGATGAGGAGAAGTAGAGGGAGGATGAGGAGGATAGCGATGTCGATCGCTGGGGGGTGGGGGGTGGCGGGGGTGGGGTGGGGTGGGGGAAGGTGGATCGCGATGCCGATCGCTGGGGGAGAATGAGGAACAGGGGGAGCGATTGCGATCGCTTGGGGGAGGTAGCGATGTCGATCGCTTGGGGAAGAATGAGGATGATGAGAGGGAGGGGAAGCGATGGTGATCGCTTGGGGGAGGTAGCGATGCCGATCGCTTGAGGGAAGAATGAGGATAATGAGCAGGAGAGGCATCGATGGTGATCGCGTGGGGAGGTAGTTACCCTGGTAACTACCGTAACTATCGCAAGTTACAACCAATGTTATCCTTTTGTTATCCTTTTGTTATCCTTTGTTATCCTTTGTTATCCTGGTCACTGGGTCAGATAGGATAACAAAAGGATAACAAAAGGATAACACTGGGTCAGATGGGATAACATGTTATCCTAACTGACCCAGTGTTATCCTTTTGTTATCCTAACTGACTGGGTCAGATAGGATAACATGGGTCAGATAGGATAACATGTTATCCTAACTGACCCAGGGATCAGGATAACAAAGGATAACAAAGGATAACAAAAGGATAACAAAAGGATAACATTGGTTGCCACTTACGATAGTTATGCCACTTATTCGAGTAAGTATCGACATCGAGCGATACTCATCGCTGCCTCCCCGAGCGATGCTGATCGCTGACGCGCGTAGCTTACCTGATAACGGCACTACGCAACATGCGCGGCTCAAGAGCCAGCGACCGAGGTCGCTCGACTATCGGTGAGAGCGCACCGCCAACGGTCGCGGGGCGTTGCGAGCGATGGCCGCGGGATGCGGCGGCGCGCTGGCCAGCGCGGCCGATGAGGCGGCGGCGAGCGAGGACAGCCAGGCGACGTTGCAGTTGGCAGGCGCCGCGGGCGCAAGCGTCCCCGAGGACGCCGAGCTGCTGGACATTCTCGCGGTGGATCTCGGTCTCGAGGGCGCGACGGGCGCGGGGGGCGGAGCCGCGGAGGCGGAGGCGCCCGAGAAAGAGGAGGTGGCGGCTGATGAAGGCGAGGAGGCGACCGAGGGGGACGGAGCCGCGGAGGCGGAGGCGTCCAAGGAAGAGGAGGTGGATGCTGAGGGAAGCGAGGATGCGGCCGAGCGGGGGCCGATGGGGAGGCCAGCCGCCGCCAGACGCAGGCGCAAGCCGAAGAAGGTCAGGGCGAAGTACGCAGGCCCGAAGGGCCCGCCGCCCAAGGCCACGGCCAAGGTGAACGCCAAGGCCGCGGCAAATGAGAAGGCAATGGCAGTGGCCGCAGCCAAGCAGGCGCCGCCCAAGTTCGCCGACATCGCGAAGTGGACGCAGCCCACTTCGAGGGCGAAGGCGAGCGGTGGTGTGCCCACCCTGAGGCTCGGCGAGAGTGTGCCCTCGCCGAAGGACGGCGATGGGGCGCTGCAGGTGGGCAAGGCGAAGGCGAAGGCGAAGTCGAAGATGAAGGCGACGGTGCAAGAGTTGTCGTCGCCGCCGCCTCGTCCGCGAAGGTGCGCCTCGGACACCGAGTCCCAGGCGTCGGCGGGCATGGGCGAGGAGCCGACGGCAGGCGCCTCGCCGAAGTTTCGAGTCGGATCGTTCGCGGCGCTCAGCTCGCCTGACAAGCGCGCAGCACCGCTCTCGCTCGACGCCGTCGAGAACGAGTTCCTCTGCGACAGGTGCGACCAGCCGTGCGACGTCATGAAGGCGTACCCAGTGCGGATGACGAAGAAGGGCCAGATCTACAGGCGCGCGTTGTGCAGCACGCGGGGGGTGCAAGCGAATCGGGCGCCCGAGTGGAAGGAGATGGCCGCGAAGCTGAAGGACTTCAGCATTGAGGAGAGGGTCGGGTTCTGGAAGAAGATCCGCGCCTGCAGCGGCCAATCAAGCGTCAAGGCCATGGCCCAGGCGACCTTGAAGGCGATCCACGAGAAAGGGACGCGGGCGGGCAAGCGAGGCGGCTACTACCCGCTGAGCTGGTACAAGAGGCAAGGCTTCCCGTGGAGAAGGATCAGGAAGACGCGCACTGACGCGTTGAACCATGCCGTGATGGGGTTGTGCTACAAGGTGGACATCCACGAGATCGAGAAGTGGGAGGCCAACATCGCGCGGCGTGAGAATGAGTATGGGGCATCGCGCGCCGCCGAGGCCGAAGACGGGCTCGAGGCTTCAGGCTCAGACGACAAGGAGCCCTGCACCAGAAAGACGCCCGCGTCCGCGCAAGCGGGGGCCGAGATCGCCGACGACAGCGCCGAGGAGGGCGATGGGGAGAGCGCCGAGGACCCCGACAGCACCGCTGATGTCGATGATGCCGGGGACTCCGACAGCACCGAGGGCTCGGAGCAGTTGCAGAGTGGCAGCGGTGACTCGGACAGTTTTGGCCTCGAGACCTCGGGCGAGGACTCCATGGGGGACGGCGACGGGTCGCACGGCGGACAGCCGCCTCCAGTGACTCCTGGCGGATCGAACGATGAGAGCAGCGACGACGGCACGCCACCCCCCCAGAACAGAAAAATGCAGAGCAAGGAAAAGCCCAAGGGGGGCAAGAGCTCTAAGGACAAGGATAAGGAGAAGGAGAAGGAGAAGTCCAAGAGCAAGGCCGCCGATGAAGATAAGGACGCTGATAAGGACAAGGGAAAGTCCAAGACAAAGGACACCGATAACGATAAGGACAAGCATAAGGACAATGACAAGTCCAAGAGCAATGGCAAAGACAAGGCTAAGGATAAGGATGAAGACAAGGAAAAGGTCAAGGCCAAGAGCAAGGGCGCCGATAAAGATAAGGACGCTGGTGAGGGCAAGGATAAGGACAAGAGCAAGGGCAAATATAAATATAAGGAGAATGCTAATGACAAGAGGGCGAACAATGACAAGTCCAAGAGCAATGGCCCTGATAAAGATAAGGGCAATCATAAGGCCACGAAAAAAGACAAGGACAAAACCGACGACAAGGCCGATGGTAAGGACAAGAGCAAGGGCAATAAACATGATAAGGATAAGAGCAATGCCAAGGTCGATGGCAAGACCAAGGGCAAGAAGCGGGCGAACGAAGGGGCAGCCGAATCTTCGACAAAGAAGATGAAGAAGCAGAAGCCACCGACCAGCTCCTCGCAGAGCGGCAGCGACATCGAATCGGGGAGCTCGTCGCCTGCGCACCCGCGCGTCGGCGAGACCGCCAAGGAGCGCGCGGCGCGCGAGAAGCAGGAGAGGAAAGAGCAGAGTAAGAAAGACAAGGGGGCGCAGCAGCAGAAGCTCCTGGCCACGCGTACCCTGAGCAGGATTGTGGCGCCCATGTACAAGCTCGAGTCGGCGCTCAAGTGCGACGGGGTCGGGAAGATCCCCGAGGCTACGCTGGTTCACGCGAAAAAGCTCATGGACACGCTGACCAAGATGAAGAAGGTCGCCCATGAAGTCAGCAGTGGCAAGGTCGCACCTTCGGAGTTCACTTGGTCCGCCCAGGATGTCAGCGACATGTCGGCGCAGGCGGCGGCGCAGAGCACTCTGGTGATGTCGATGGCCAAGGCGTACCTTGTGACTGCGAAGTCCCCGTGAGGGCCCGCCGCCATCAGCTGCAGCGCTGGGGCCAGCGCGCGGCCGTGCGGTAGCAGCAGGCTTTGACGCCGCTCGCCGCCCCGCTTTCGCGCCCCGCCCCGCAGCTGGTGGGTGGCGCACATGTGTGTAAAAAAAGCGATGGGGATCGCTGGGGTGAAGCGATGGCGATCGCTTGTGGAGAGGGGAGCGATGGGGATCGCTGGGGCGAAGCGATGACGATCGCTTAGGGAGAGGGGAGCGATGGGGATCGCTGGGGCGAAGCGATGGCGATCGCTTAGGGAGAGGGGAGCGATGGGGATCGCCGGGGTGAAGCGAGGGCGATCGCTCGGGCGGGCGTTGGCGAGGATGGGCTCGCGATGGGGGCTAGTTGCTCAGCCGTTTCGGCTCGACTCGCGAGTGGCGCGCGTCGCTCGTGGCCAAGCGGCGGCGCGATGCCCAAGCGGCGGCGCGATGGCCCCGAAGCGGAGTCGGGTATCCGATGTCCGCGACCTCAGGCGGCCAAGCGGCGTCGGCTATCCGATGCCATCGCTACGCATGGCGTATCTGGCAAGGCCCTCGTTCGCATCGCCAAGAAGCTCGCGAAGCCTGGCCATGCGCAAGAGCTGACGGCTTACGCGGTCCAATCCACCATTGAGGGCGTATTCGACGACGTCGGGACGACAATCGAATTGCCCATGCAAGATAACGAGCCGCCCTTCGCTTGGAAGCTCGCCAGAATCGACAAGCTCCTGCGGTATGTTTGCAAGGCCAGCCCCGTGTACAGTGAGCTTCTCGCGGTGGTCGCGAACCGCGTCCGCGGCGCGCCGCTCTCGCTGGTGCTGTACATGGACGAAGTGACACCAGGCGACGCGCTGGCCCTGAGGCACGATCGGAAGTTCTGGATGATCTTCTTCACGTTCCTGGAGTTCGGGGCTGACATGCTATGGAGGGAAGAGCTGTGGCTACCGCTGGGGTGTCTGCGAACGAAAGCGAGCAATCGCGTGGACGGCGGCATCTCCTGTGCCACTCGACTCCTCATCAGGGAGATGTTCTTCGGATCCTCCAGGCTCGCGGGAGCTGGCGCGCACGTGGAGCTGGCCAACGGCGCTCCGATGCTGGTGCGGGCGCGCCTCTCCAATCTTCTCGCAGACATGGATGCGTTCAAAGGCATTCTGCGTTTGCGGGGTGCCAACGGCTGGAGGCCTTGCTTGCGATGCAAGAACATGATCTTGAAGGGCGGTTCCGTCGACGGCGACGGCGGCTACTTCGTCGACACCTGTTGTCACGAGCACGCGCGCTTCGATCGTCATTCAGACGCCGACGCGTGGAAACTGTGGGACGACCTCGCCGCAGCGGCGGCGACCGCGGGACAGCCTGGCCACATGGCGAAGGGCAACTTCCAGAAGCTCGACAGGGCCAGCGGCTTCAACTACCATCCCAATGGCTTGCTGGAGGATAAGGAATTGCGGGCGATAATGAAGCCGTCCGCCATGACGTATGACAGCATGCACAACCTATGGAGCAATGGCACCGTTGGCTGGGAGGTGTTCGCGTTTGTGAAGGCGTGCCAGAGAAAAGCTGGCATCGGATGGCCCGAGCTTCACGCGTTCACGCGGCGCTGGCAGTTCCCGAGGTCGCACGGCAGAACGGCAAAACATATGTTCACGCCTGGGCACGAGACCGCGTGCAAGAAATCATTCGAAGCAGGCGCCAGCGAGCTGACCTCGACCTTCTTCGTCCTTTTGGCGTTCGCCGAGGAGCGCGCCGTCCGCATCGGGTCGCTCGAGCGCGAAATATCGTCCCTTCGGGCGTGCGGCCTGCTGGCGGACGCGTTCCTGAAGGTCAAGCGCGGGCGTGCCCCCCCTCGCAGTGACTTCATTGCAGCGGCTGAAGTCCATCTCAACTTGCACAAGCAGGCGTACGGCACCAAATACGTGAAGCCCAAACACCACTACGTGTTTCACAACGCGGAGCAGGAGCCGAAAGAGCTCGACTGCTTCGTGACGGAGCGCCACAATAAGGTGGCAAAGGCGGTGGCCGAACCAGTGGAGAACACCGCGCGCATGGAGGCCACGACGCTCGCGGGCTGCGTATTGCAGCAAGTGCGGCAACTCGAGAAGATGGGGCCGACGGGCAACTCGCTGGTGGGAGCGCGTGCCGAATCTGACGGGTTGCGCTCCGTAGTCGGGGCCGCCGACGTCTCCGTGGCCAGGGGGCTGCGCTGGGAAGGGAACGCCTACAACGTGGGCCAGGTGGTTCGCTCGCGCGGCGGCGAGGTGTTTATCATCGACGCGTGCGCGGAGATTTCTGGCGAACTGCACATCGTCGCCCGCGGGATCGAGATCTCAACGGGCGCGTGCGGCCTCAGCACTGGCAGCGTGGTGAACGAGCTCCTCGTCATCAAGATGTCCGACGCTGACCTGGATGGCGCTGTCTGGGCGTGGCGCGTGAAGAGCAACGGTGACTATGTCATCGCGCGCGCGCGCTGAGAAACAGATGGAAACATGCGCCGCGCCGCGGTGTGTGTGTGTGTGTGGGGAGCGATGTCGATCGCTGGGCGAGGTGAAGCGATGTCGATCGCTTGGGTGAGGAGATGAGAGGAGGAGGATGAGGATGAGGAGGAGGAGGAGGAGGGGGAGGGAGAAAGCGATGCCGATCGCTGGAAGGAGGGGGGGACGGAAAAGAAAATCGAGCGATGCCGATCGCTGGGCGAGGTGAAGCGACGCCGATCGCTTGAAGGAGGAAGAGGAGGAGGAGGAGGTGGCGGAGGAGGGGGGATAGCGATATCGATCGCTGGAAGATGGGCGGGGGGTGGGAGGAGGAACATAGGATCACTGCGCGCAGCGCGCAACCGTTCAGCTTTGGTGCGCTGCTGCCCCTTGGGCTCGCGCGGGGCAGGCGCGATGCTGCCCCTGGCGGCCGCGCGCAAGCGCGCCTCGAGCTGGCCGAAGGCGGCCGCGCACGACGACGAGACGACGACGACGATGCGACGACGGCGACGAAGACGGCGGCGAATGAGGCGAGCTTGCCCGAGCGGCTGCTCGGGGAGGTGGAGCAGCTGCGCGGGGAGGTCGAGCAGCTGCGCGCGGCGAACGCCCAGCTGCGGGCGGAGAAGGAGGAGGCGGATAAGACGACGACGACGACGACGAGACGACGGCGAGACGACGACGACGACGACGACGACGACGACGACGACGACGACGACGGTGGCGGCGACGACGACGGCGGCGGCGGCGACGACGACGACGACGACGACCCCCCCAGGTGGCGCGGCACTTGGCCCTCCACATCGACATGCGCGACGTCGAGCTGGATCGGGCCGCCGAGCTGCTGGGCGTCGCGCGCCGCCGCGCCGCGGTGCATGCGGCGGCGCTGGCGCAGCTCAAGCAGGACGCGATGACGATCATCCGCCTGCAGAGGCTGTGCGACGCCCCCGAGGCGGAGGCGGCCATGGCGTCGGCGGTGGTCATGGCCGACGCCCTGACGAAGCCGCCTCCGCCGCCGTGGCCCCCCCGTGAGGAGGGGCTCACGGGCGGCGACGGGCGCCCAGGGTCGTCCACGGACGCCCTGACTGAGCCGCCCCCGCCGCCGCGGCCTGCGCCCCCGCAGTGAGGCGGCGCGAGGCTGCGCGCGCCAACAAGAAGCTTGGGGGGGGATATCGATGTCGATCGCTTGGGGGAGGTAGCGATGGCGATCGCTTGGAGGAGGAGGAGGAGGAGGAGGAGGAGGAGGAGCAGGAGGAGCAGGAGGAGCAGGAGGAGCAGGAGCAGGAGGATGAGGAGGAGCAGGATCTGCATGGGCAGCCAGGGGGCTGCGGAGGGAGGAGGAGGAGTAGCGATGCCGATCGCGATGTGCATGGGCAGCCAGTGGGGCCGCGGGATTTGCATAGGCAGCCAGGGGGGCTCGCGATCTCGATCGCCGCGAGGAGGAGGGGAGGAGGAGGATGAGGAGCAAGAGAGCGATGCCGATCGCTGGGGGAGGCGAAGCGATGTCGATCGCTTGGAAGGGGGAGGAGGCAGGAGAAGGAGGAAGAGGAGGATGACGATGATGAGGAGGAGGAGAGCGATGTCGATCGCTCGGGCGCGGGTGGGAATATGGGTGGAGCGATGGCGATCGCTCGGGCGGGCGTTGGCGACGATGGGCTCGCGATGACGGCGATTGCTCAGCCGTTTCGGCTCGCCTCGCGAGTGACGCACGGGGCGCTCGCGGCCAAGCGACGGCGCGCGCGCGCAGGAGGGGGCGCGTCATGGACGATCTCCCCTCGGAACCGCTGCCACCTGGGCTGGTCGGCGCGAAGCCGCCCAGTGTCCCGCTGCCGCGAGGCGGCCCGTGGCCGAATATGGCCAACGCGAAGTTCTTCAAGATACCGTCGCCCGCCGCTTTCGTTGCGGCCACCTCCAAGGACGCGGCGCCGCCGCCGCCACCCAAGCGGCCGCGCCTCGAGGTTGCAGCCGTCGGCCGAGAGGGAGCAGGCAATGGAGGTCCAGCGTTCGCGGGAGTTCGAAAGCGCCACCGTGCGCCCTCCCACCGAGGATGAGCTGGTGGAGCTGCTCGTGTCCCTGGGCGGGGATGGGTGGAACGACTCCAGCGTCCTCAGGCGGCTCCAACAGCAGGCCGAGCTGCAGGCGTTGAGCGAGGCGGAGGCGATCTGCTTGACCGCCTTCCGCGACGGGCAGGGCGGCGAGGCGGCCCCTGAGGGTGAGCCCCCTGCGCGGTGAGGAGGCCGCGCGTACACTGAGGACGCGGCCGCGCGCGGTGAGGAGGCCGCGCGCCCCGCCGCGCTCATCGCTCTCCTCCCCCCCTCCCCCCCCTCAGAGCGATCGACATCGCTCTCCTCCTCCTCCTCCTCCTCCCAAGCGATCGCGATCGCTTCATTTCCCTAAGTAACTCATAAGTATCTTATAGTGTTAGCTTAAGTAACTTAAGAACATCAACTTAAGTTACTTATAAGTATCTTAGTAAGTACCCATAAGTAGCTCATGTAAGTAGCTATGTTACTTGCGATACTTATACATAGGGTGCAACTAGCATAAGAGCCACCACTCTCGAAGCGTGAGGGCGCTGGTTTGGAATTCGTCGCCAGATTCGCCGGATTCCGCAAACTTCGCCAGAGACTGAACATGTAAAAAGCAGTCAGTTGGATGCTCCCGTTGAACGCGTGTCCTTCAGAGTGATTTTTCTTCCATCCCCACCTTTTCTGCCCCAACTCCACTTTTGTGCCTCCCCGACAAAAGCTCCTTCAAACTATTGTACTGGTATGCTCGGGTCGGACGTGCGCCTCCAACAGAGGCACATCGTATTTGTACGACCTGCTGTTATGCGTCCCGCAGAGGTCGCGGCGGGGGTCCGCCGTGGTGATAGGGCCCCTCTGCGACTGGCGACGACGGCGCAGGAGGCACCGAACTCGCGACGGTGTACCGCGAGTTCTTGGTCAAAACCTTCGCGCAAAGCAACGTCTGAATGGCGGGCCCAGCGTCGGCCGTGGCGTCATACAGTGATCTCGTGCGTATGCTATGTGCATCCTTCTTCCCCTCCTCCCCCTCCTCCCCCTCGTCCTTCTCCTCCTCCTTGTCTTTCTCCTCGTCCTCCCCCTCCTGTCCTCTTCGGACGGTTTACGGAGTGTGTGTGTGTGTGTGTGATTTCGAATGTATTGTGATGTTGTTTAATTGAACGCCCCTGAGGGGGCAGGCACCGCCGCCCCACCAATTCTGGAACGCGGAGTTTGTTGGGGGGGGTCCAGGACGGCCCGAGAGGGTCCCAAAAAGACGCGGAAGAGGTCCCGAGGCAGGGCTCCCCGGAGGGGCCCAAGAGGCCCCGAAAACGGTCCAACAGGGCACCCGAAGGTAGGGAGATTATGAAGAAGAGGGCGAAGACGGCGCACGCAACCAAAGAAGGATACGGACATACCCAAAAAAACATCACCATTCGGTTTGGGGGCCTCAGAACGCCCTCCAAGGACCCCCTGCGCGCGCCCAAGAGGGCTCAAGAAAGCGCCAAGACGGCGCCCAGACGGCAGAGGAGGGCTCCGAGAGGCCGTCCGGACACGGTGGCCGAGAGCATCCGCAGAGTCGAAGATGGGCTCCCAGAGAGGCGCAAGGAGAAGCCCGACAGTCCGAGAATCGTCAAAATCCTATGTGTTTTACCCGGTATTTTGCTTGTTGGGTGTTTGTGGTCTATGTGACTCGAAGAGAGGTGTAGAGGTCTCTCGAACGGTCCAACGTGGCCCTTGGGACAGTCAAGATAAGCCCCAGAGGGCTGTGAGAGGCTCCCGAAATTGGCCGAGAGGCTCCCAGAGACATCTTGGACAGGCCCGGGCGGCGCCGGGAAACCCCATGCGTCAAAGGAGGACCGTTTTGGGACGAAAATGGCGGCCAGAGAGCAGCGCGTGAGCAGCCGGAAGCGTCGAACCAGCGAAATGCGCAGCCCGCGTGGAGGACCCCAGGAGGGGTAGCAAGAGCTCTGAGGAAAGGAATTCGACATGAGGAGTGCCTGGGTAAGAAGAACGAGGGAAAAGAGTCGTGCAGACCGTGCGGGGGGATCTCACACGCCGTACCTGGTGGGGCGGCGGATCGCTTGCAATGTTATTATATCGCTTCGCTCATTCCGCCGGCCCATATTGTCTCGCCGCTGTCGTTTGTCGGGGTGTTGTTGTCAATGCGCGGTGCGGTTGGGCGGCTGCCATTTTTCGGAGCGGTGGGTGGCGGGTCAGAGGCCTCACGGATGTTGGTTGGGCTCTCGTGGTTGGCATTTCAGGGGCCTTTGGGAGGCGGTTTTGAGGCCTCTTGGGGGGCCGTCTTGGTGCCTCTTGGGGCCTCTTCTTGGGGTGCCTCTTGGGGGCCCTTTGGAGCCTCTTGTGGGCCTCTCGGGGCCTCCTGGGGGCCTCTTGTGGCTGCAGGGGCCGCTCTTGGGGCCGCTTTGGGGCTCTCTTGGGCCGTCTTGGGCGCCTCTTGGGTTATCTTGGGGCCATATTGGGCCGTCTTGGTGCTCTTTCGTGGGCCGTCTTGGGGCGGTCTTGGAAGCCTCTTGGGCCGTCTTAGAGCGCCAGTAAGCCGAAAAGGCGAGAACGCCAAAAACCGTCAGAAATTGAAGCTAATTTCTGCCTTTGTGGGCCCTCTTGGGAGGTCTCTTGGAGGCCTCTTGGGGCGTCTTGAAGGCGCTTTGGGCTATCTGGAGGCAATCTCTGACGTCTTGGATCGCTCTTGGACCGTCTCGGACCATGTTGAGCTCTCTTGGAGGCCACTTGAAGCGCTCCTGGAGCGCTCTTGGGAGCCTGCTGGGACCTGGCCAGGATCTGCCCGGGACCTGCCTGGGATCTCCCTTGGACTTTGCCGGGACTTGCGGGGGTATTGTTCATCCGGGGATCCCCAGGGGCGGCGCCGCGCGCGCGCGATTTAGAAACATTGTTAACCAGTTGCTGGAGATCTTAGCACGCCCTTAGCACGTTGGGCCGGCGAATTTAATTGCTTCGCTCAAACCGCCGGCCCGTATGGTGCCATCGCAGGCGGTTGCCTGCGTGTCCGTGGCCTCTTGGAGGCCGTTTGGGGGCCTCTTAAGGAGCCTCTTTTTGAGCCTCTTGGCGGTATTTCTGGGAGCTTCTGGGGCGTCACGGGGGCCTTTTTCGGGCATAGCCAGGACCCCAGGTAAGGGGATCCGGTTAGTAGTGGAGCCCTGGAGCCCCCAAATTGGCCAGAATCACTAAACCAGGTTTGCCGTAGCTGGTGCTTTTTCGGCTGACGGCAGTTCCGGTCCGGTCAGTGGAACTGGCGAGGGGGGCGTCCCCCAGTACAAATCGCTAAACCAGGTCCCATTATGATGGGGGCGTTTTCCACCACCACCACCATAAGTTGGAGGGGGGAAGAAGGAGGACGAGGAGGAGGACGAAGAGGAGGAGGACGAAGAGGAGGAGGAGGAGGGCACCCTTCCCCTCCAACTTATGGTGGTGGTGGTGGAAAACAGGCACACCACATTAAGCCCAGTTTTTCCAGCGCGCGACTTTGGGTGGCCTCTCGGGGGCCTTTCGGGGGCTTTTGGGGGGCCCGGGGCCTCCGGCCCGCGCTCTCTCCCGCGCGCGCGCGCGCGGCGGAGGCCCCGGCGCCGCTGCGGGAGATCGCACGGCCGGTGCTGCGCGTGGAGTGCCCGCCAGCCCTGGCGGACCAGCGGGCGTCGGACGACGAAGCCCGCCTTGCGCGTGGGGGGCGGGTGGGTCTACAGTCCAACCGCATCGTAAGGCAGAGGAGGAAACGGCACTCCTGCCCCTACGCTTTTCATCATTTAGGCCCTTGTTTTGGGCCTCCTGGGCCTCCGTCCTCGCCACCACAGGGTTCGCCTCGAAGTCCTGGTCAGAACGCGCCGCAGGAGAGGTCCGAGAATTCGCGGTATCGGTACCCTTGGTTTCTCCAGGAAGGATGGGCAAATTTCCCAAGGATGCCCTTGCATCCTTGCCTCCTCGGTCCATCTTTGGCGTTTTTTGTCGGCCGCGCCCCGATCGAGAAGCTTCGACATGGGTGTCCAAGGCCCTTGCATCCTTATCGCGCATCCTTCTGACACGTGCCGGCTACAGGCCTACAAGGTTGGGTCGGAGCAGGTGGGGTCGGAGGATGGCGCCGCATCGCGGATGCATCGCCGATGGGTCTCGACGCGGAGCCCGATTTGCTCCACACCGACTGCGCCAGTGCGTCGCCGACATCGCCGATGCATCGTTGATGCATTGGCGATGCGGCGCGTACTCTGGCCCCATCTTCTGGGATCACAGTCGGGAGGCCTCGCGTGGGGGGGGGGACCACCAGCATTGCTCGCGAAATCGTGTTCTTCTCCATTCTTCCCTTGCCCTTCTCGCTTTCCCCTCTTATTTTTGCATCATCCTCGTTGTCCCCCTCACACTCAATTATCCATGTCCTTGCTGGCTTCCCCCCTGCCCTCCGCCCACTTCGCTCCCCCCCCTCCTTCCCACCCGTACTCGAGGAGTAGCGCTGATTGGTGCCCCAATTGAGAACTGTCAATTGTTGAGATTTCAAACGGTCTGGATCGAAGTTTCTCGCCAGATGCCGACCGTCTTTGTAGCGCACCTCCTGGCCCAAGCCACGCAGATCGGAGCATTATGCTTACCCTCGAATCCCTGAAGTAGTGTTGCAGCACGCAGTGCTGCCAACATTGAGCATTCCCTCTCCCATGTCATCCTCCCCGCCTGCTCTTCGCTTCCCCCTCTCCACTCCACTCTGGCTGCTGCTGCTCTTCTCTCTCCCAACCCTCCCTGCCCCACCCTCGGATGTCGGGAAGGAGACGTATTGTGCAGAGGCTCGGGTGCCAGGTCCTCCTCCGCCTCCTCCTCTTCGCCCCCTTTCCCTTCCCTCCCCTCGCCCCGCTCCTCCCTCTCCATCCCCCGCCCTTCATTATGTGTCCTAGCGCATCCCCCCCCCAGCCCCCGCCCCCCAGCCACTCTGGCTTTTGCCCCTCTCGCCCCTCCTGGTTCGCTCCCGCCCCTCTCGCGCTCTTCCGCTCGCCCCTCCCCCCGCTCCTCTCCGCCTCTCCCCGCGTCCCCCGCCCTGTGCCGCCGCAGCTGCGCCTCACGGCGCGCAAGACGATCGTGGCTGGTGGCTTCAGGGAGCGGGGGACCTGTCTGGGAGGGGGCAGCAGAGGCGGGGTAGAGGAGCAGGAAAAGGAGGAGGAGCAGGAAGAGGAGGAGGAGGAGGAGGAGGAGGAGGAGGAGGAGGAGAGGGGGGAGGAGGAATAAGGGAGGATGGGAGTAGGTGGAGGAGGAGTGGTGGAGAATGCGGGGACGATGATGATGATGATGATGATGATGATGATGATGATGATGATGATGATGATGATGATGATGCTGCTGCTGCTGCTGCTGCTGCTGATGCTGATGCTGATGCTGATGCTGATGCTGATGCTGATGCTGATGCTGATGCTGATGCTGGTGCTGATGATGCTGCTGATGATGATTATGATGATGATGATGTTGCTGATGATGCTGATGCTGATGCTGCTGCTGATGATGATGATAATGATGCCGATGCTGATGCTGATGCTGATGATTGTGATGCGGATGCTGTTGCTGATGCTGTTGATGATGCTGTTGATGGTGGTGGTGGTGTCGGTGGTGGTGGTGATGATGATGAATATGATGATGCAACTGATGCTGCTGATGATAACGACTGTGATGGTGCCGCCGACGACGTTGATGAGGAGGAGGAGGATGGTGATGATGATGATGATGATGCTACTGATGCTGACGATGATGATGTTGCTGCCGAGGACGATGAGGATGAGGATGCGAATTAGGATGATTATGATGCTGATTATGGTGATGGCGCTGATGCTGATCGATGACGATGCGGTTGCTGAGGATGATGGTGACGATGATGATGCTGATGATGAGGATGAGGATGATAATGATGGTGATGATGACGATGGCCGTGGTGACGACGATGATGATAAGGATGATGAGGAGGATGCGGATGAGGGCGGGGGTGCGGATGAGGATGATGATGATGATGATGATCATGATGATGATGATGATGATGATGACGAGGATGTTGATGATGATGATACTGATGATGTTGTTGATTATTACTCTTGTGATGATGATGATGATGCTGATGGTTGTGATGTTGTTGTTGATGATGATGCTGATAATACTGATGATGATGATGATCATGATGATGATGATGCTGATGCTGATGATGATGATGATGATGATGATGATGATGATGGCGGTGGTGGTGATGATGGGGAGGATGAGGAGAAGAAGGATGAGGCTGAGAATATGGATGTCGATTGGGACGGGGATTATGATGAGATGAGTATACGGATCTGATTAGAATGAGGATGGTGATGAGGATGAGGATGGTTAGGATGATGAAACGAGGGATCAGGCGGAGGACGGAGATGACGATTGGGACGGGGATGAGGATGAGGATGAGGACACGGATCGGAGGATGATGATGATGATGATGATGATGATGATGATGATGATGATGATGATGATGATGATGATGATGATGATGATGATGATGATGATGATGATGATGATGATGATGATGATGATGATGGAAAGAGCGTGTTCTACCGCTGCTGGCGGAAAACCGGAGAGGGTCACTGGGGGTTCCCACCCCCCCACCCCCCCTCGAAAACGGGGGGGTCACTGCCAGTTCGAACCCCTCCCCCCCCCTCCCAGTCCATCATGAAAATTAGGAGGGTCACTACCGGTTCGAACCCCCCCCCTCGAAAACAGGGGGGGGTCACTACTGGTTCAACCCCCCCCCCCCTCGCCGCCGGCAAACGATTCCCGCTCGTCGGGAAAGTTGGACAATGGTGGGGATTCTGGGACAGTGGTGGGAACGGTGGTGGTGGGGACAGTGGTGCGGGGACAGTGGGACAGTGGTTCGGTCACTGGTGGGGACGGTGGTGGTGGGGACAGTGGTGAGGGGACAGCGGGACAGTGGTGGGGACAGTGGGACAGTGGTGGGGATGGTAGTGGTGGGGACAGTGGTGAAGGCGGTGGTGAGGACAGTGGTGGGACAGTAGTACAGTGGGGTGGTGGGGACAGTGGGGACGGTGGGACAGCACAGTGGGACAGCGGCGGGGACAGTGGGACAGTGGTGGGTACAGTGGGGACAGTGGGACAGAGGTGGGGACCGTGGGGAAAGTGGGGACAGTGGGACAGTGGTGGGACAATGGTGGGGACAGCGGGGACAATGGTGGGAACAGTGGGGACAACGGGACAGTGGTGGGGACTGTGGGACAGTGGTGCGGACGGTGGTGGTGGGGGCAGTGGTGTGGGGACAGTGGGAATTCAGTGGGACAGCGGCGGGGACAGTGGGACAGTGGTGGGTACAGTGGGTACAGTGGGATAGTGGTTGGGGCCGTGGGGAAAGTGGGGATAGTGGGGCCGTGGTGGGACAATGGTGGGGACAGTGGGGACAGTGCGACAGTGGTGGGGGCACTGGTGGGGACAGTGGGGACGGTGGTGGGAACAGTGGGGACAGTGGTGGTGAGGACGGTGGTGCTTGGGACAGCAGTAGGGGATGTGGTGCGGACGGCGGCAGGGACCCGGGGGTCGTTTGCAGGCGGTGAGCGTGGGAGGGCGGGGGAGGGGTTTGAACCGGAAGTGACCCCCTCGGTTTTCCGGAGGGGGGGGGGTTCGAACCGGTAGTGACCCCCTCCCCTGGTTTTCCGTGGGGGGGGGTTAGGGGGAGGGGGGGGGTTTTGCCAGGGGGGGGATTTTCGGAGGGGGGGGGGACCCTGGGTTCCAAAGGAAGAGGGGGGGGAATTTTCCACAGTAAAGCGGTGGTGGATCACGCTCTCTCTGATGATGATGATGATGATGATGATGATGATGATGATGATGATGATGATGATGATGATGATGATGATGATGATGATGATGATGATGATGATAAGGATGATGATAAGGATGATGATAATGAGGAGGAGGAGGAGAAGGAGGAGCAGGAGGAGGGGGAGGGGGAGGGTGATCATGATCATGATGATGTTGATGATGATACTGATGCTGATGCTGATGCTGATTCTGGTCACGATGCTGAGGATGATGATGCTTGTGGTGATGGTTGTGGTGATGATGATGCTGATGGCGATGACGACAATGATGATGATGCTGATGATGATACTGATGATGGTGATGAAGATGACGCTTAGATGATGTTGGTGGTGTTGATTATGATGATGGTGATGGTAGTTGTGGTGATGATGATGATGTTGTTGATGATGGTGCTGGTGATGCAGGTGCTGTTGTTGATGATGATAGTTGTGGTGATGGTGATGGTGATGACAATGGTGATGGTGATGGTGATGGTGATGGTGTCGATGATGATGAGAAGTAGGAGGAGGAGTAGGAGGATGCGGAGAGGAGAGGAATCAAGAAGGGTAACGGAGAGCCTTACGTTTGATGTCGCTATAGTGCGATTCTCAGTAGCGATGTGCGATCCGAAGTTGGCAGTAGCAATACAAAGAGGGAATTGGAGTTTCAGCTACCCCGCCCTCCTCCTCCTCCCCTCCCCCTCCTCCTCCTCCTCTTCCTCCTTCTTCTCCTCCTCCTCCTCCTCCTCCTCCTCCTCCTCCTCTCCTCCTCCTCCTCCTCCTCCCCCTCCCCCTCCCCCTCCCCCTCCCCCTCCCCCTCCTCCTCCCCCCGCACTCTCACAGAGCCATGTGTCCGTGAACGTGGTGGAATTCATGCAATTGTCCCTTTACAGTTGTGATTGTCCGAGCGATCTTCTGGTTTTGATTTGCAGCGTTGCCCCTCATATTCTGTAAGGAGGGGCACCCTAGGTGCTGTCCTGACATGCTGTCCCTCGGATCTTGTCTGGAAGTGTCAGCGAACGGCTGGCTGCGTGAATGTGCCGTTTGTGCTGCTTAGTGTCGCTCTCACATGTGATGCACGAGTTTGTGCGCGCGCGTGTGTGTATTACGAGGTACGGGGCGTTCGCGGCATTGTTGGACCCTCAGGAGGTGCACATTGCTGGTGCTTTGCAAGTGCAATGGTTACATCCCCGGCATTGCCTGGCAGTCTTCTTGGCATTGTCTGCAGCCGTTTTGTTTAGGTTGTCTTCTTTTCGCATGTCGCACACATGTGCCAGTGCGGTCAGCCCCCCCAACAAAGTCCTTGCCTTGACGCCCCAGTCCCTCTCTTCTTTCGACGCAGGAGGAAGATATCCTCAGCGTCGAGCTAAGCGCCAATCGCACGGTCTGCCTGGTGGAGGTCCACCCCCGCCGAGGAGGAGGAGGAGGAGGAGGAGGAGGAGGAGGAGGGGGAGGGAAGAGGAGGGTATCTGCGCACGTCGAATGAAAGCAGTTGTGCCACAGTCGATGTTCAAGCCAGTTCCCTGACGCAACGGTCATCAAGCCAATGTCGGTCTAGCGTTAAAGGGGAAGAAGAGGAGGAGGAGGAGGAGGAGGAGGAGGAGGAGAGGAGGAGGACCCGCTCCCTCAGAACTTGCGTCGCGCACGCGAAGTAGATGAGCAACACATCAGCAACACGCTCGCCGCTCAGCGCACCCGCGGAAAAAAGAAGAATTGCCAGCTGGAGAAGCAAGAGCAGGTGGAGGAGGATTGAGGGGAGGGGGCGACGACATTAGCAAGGACAATGAGGAGGAGGAGGAGGAGGAGGAGGAGGAGGAGGAGAAAGAGGACGACGACTGCAGGAGTCAACCATCATGACCTTCTCGGACCGCGTGCTCAAAGAGCCTCTTGGAACACCCCAGGAGCCATCTTGGAATTTCTTGGGGCAATGTGAGAGCTTCGGGGCACTATCAGGGCCCCGTCGGGGGGCCATCTTGGGGCCAACTTCGAGGGTATCGATCAAACAGGGTTCAGAGGGTGGCTGATAGCGTCGCCCCTTCTGGAACCCCAGAAGACGCCTTGCTAGATCATCTTGGGACGGTCCTGGAGCGCACTTGGGAACGTTTGGAGACGTCTTGGGCTTCTGCTGGCGCCTTCTTTGGACTCTTGGGCGATTTTGGGGTCCCTTCCCAGGGACGTCCAGGGTTCTTGGGGACGTCTTGGGCCCTTTCTTGGGCGATCAGGGATCCTTCTAGGGGCTCTCCTGGACGATCGGGGTTCCCTTCTCTCTTGAGGCTCTCTTGGGGACTTTTTGGGCCTCCTCTTTGGGCATACGTACAGTGGAAGTCTATGCCAAGAAACACTCTGCTTGCCTCCAGGGTGCCCTGTGTTTCTTGGGTTTTGATGGTTTCGCTATGGAAGGCGTGACGTTCCCACACCAAACATACATGGACGTCCTGGGGTCTCAGGGGTGGGTTTCTTGTGGTCGAGCTCATACTGCAGATGGGGTCGGAAGATCGCGCCGCGTCGCCGATGCATTGGTGGTGCGGCTCGATGCGGAGCCCGATTTTCTCCACGCCGACGTCGCCGACGAGTCGCCGAGGTCTGCGATGCATCGGCATCGCCGATGCTCGGCGATCCTCCGACCCCCTCTACTCCGACCCCATCTAGGAGGCCTCTACTGCGGCGACGGGCCGTCGCAGTCGCAGCCTTCTTCGTCGTGGTCGCCGCCGCCGCTGCGACCCCCGCCGCCCGCAGGTCTCGCTGACGGCGTGACGCGCGCGCGCGCGGGGGCCTGAGGCTCGCTCTTCGGCCTCCCTTCCCCCGGTGAGGTGGAGGTTGAAGCGAAGTGCTGTAGGATCTTGTCCTGTCGAGTTGGCGGCGACCCCAGCTCGGGCGCTCCAGGTTGAACGCCGCCAGTGGCCAAGGCGGCAGGCATTGATCGATTCGCGTTATCAGAAGCCCACGATCATTCAAGGTCAATCGATCCACGTGGTGTCAGAGACCAACGCGGACATTGTGACGAGGCGTACTCGCCGTATCGCAGATGCATTGCTGGGGCTTTCATAGGCCTCTGGGAGGCTACGGCTTGATTCCCGTCGAGATTTTTGTCAGAACGCACCCCCGGACAGGTACAGGGGTCGACCTTGAAAGGAGGATCCTCCTCCTCCTCCTCCTCAGCCTCGGCCTCTTTCTTCGTTGTCATCATATCTCCTCTATCCTCTGTCCCCCTCATCTTTCCTTATGTGTTCCTCTGCGACACTTCTCCTCGCTCCTCCTTATCCCTAGCCCCTAGTTTCTCCGTCCTCGTCCTCTCCACCGTTCTCATTTTGTTTCGAAAAGCCACGTTCCCCTGCGGACCCAGTGGATACCGCTGATCCGCGGCTGACAAGGCTGGTTCCAGCCTGGTGCCCTTTCGCCCACCACCGCAGGGGTTTCGCATGCAGCCGTTTTTTGTCGACCGCTTCCACGGGCTCCCGCGTTCTGCGGGACAGCAACAGATCCACGATTCGCATCTAGATGCATATGCACATATGCGTGTGTGTGTGTGTGTGTGTGTGCGTGTGCGTGCGGGTGTGTGTGTGTGCCTGTCTGTCTGTTTGTCTGTCTGTCTGTCTTGGCTTGGCTTGGCTTGGTTTGTCTTGTCTTGTCGTGTCTTGTCTTGTCTTGTCTTGTCTTGTCTTGTCTTGTCTTGTCTGTCTGTCTGTCTGTCTGTCTGTGTGTCTGCGTGTATGTGTGTGATTGTGCGTATGTGTGTGATTGTGTGTGTGTGTGGGTGGGGGGGGGGGCGTGGGTGTGTATATAAATGTATATATATATATATACATATAATGGGGAGGGTGTCCCGAGGGTCCTAAGTGAAGTGATTGTAATGGCCTCCGGCCTGTGCCGCCGATCCGGGGCGTTCGGCGTGTTGCGATTCGACTATCCCTCTTCTCTCCCTCCCTCCCTGTTTTCCTCCCTCCCTCCCTCCCCATCTCCCTCCCCAGATCCCTCCCCCCCACCCTGCTTCCCCTCCCTCCTTCCGCCGCCCTCCCTCCCCACAACCCTCCCCCCTTTCTCCCCTCCCCTCCTCTCCCACCTCCCCCCCCCGCCCACTTACCCCTCTCCGTAATGCTTTCTGCGGCGCACAAGGTATCCAGCTGCCTGCGGCAAGTCCTGCGACCGTGCCAGTCGAGCCTGCTCAGTTGCAGCAGCTCCAATTGATGAGGTTGTAGATGGCGGTGGAGGGTGATGAAGATGCTGTTGGTGATGATGATGCTGATGCCGATGACGTTGACGACGATGATGATGATGATGATGATGATGATGATGATGATGATGATGATGATGGTGATGGTGATGATGATGATGGATGATGATGATGATGATGATGATGATGCTGATGATGATGATGATGTCGATGACGACGACGATGACGATGCTGATGACGACGATGACGATGATAAGGATGACGACGATGATGAGGATGACGATGATAAGGATGATGATGATGAGGATGACGATGGTGGTGTCTTCGATAATGACAAATAGGATGATAGGGACGAGAAGGGTGGTGACGTGGTGACTACGGTTAGGAAGAGTTGGAGGAGGAGGCGGGGGAGAGGCAGGTTCAGTGTTGTGGGCCTGTAGCCGTCGAGGTCCAAGCTTATTCCACACCTTTGCTTTCAAGTCTGTATCCCAATGGCGGTGGCGAAAGGGAAGGCGCCCGCGAAACGCAGAGCCATAGCAGCCTCAAGCGGCACCGCGGTGCAAGAGGATGCAGAGATTGAGGGCGAGCCGGCTGCGACTCGGAGGCCACACGAGGTGAACAAGGCAAAACATGCCGGGCCACAGCGGGCAAGCGAGGCTGAGAAGGCACTATCGCGGCACAAAAATATCACGTATTGCTGTGGGTGTGATGACGGGGAGGGGAAACCTGAAGCAGACTGGAATCGCGTAGGCCACAATGCTCTTGCGAGTTTGGAACACTTAGAACGATGCATAGCTGCAGCGGGTGTCGCCGGGCAGGCTTTGCCGGGGAAGCACGTGTCGATGGTGTTGCGGAACACTGATGAAACAGCAAAACAGCTCTGGAAGGTCAGGCCGAAAAGTTCGAGAGCGAAGGCAGCTGGCGTGGATAAGGCGAAGTATACGCAATCGTGGAAGGACAGTGTCGCGAAGGCCCGGGCTGAATTAGGGTTGCCAGGCAACGCGAGTCTTGCTAAAGGAACGCCCTTGTACAAGAAGGCGAAGGAATTCCACGACGAAGCGAAGGAGCGCGCACTTGCGTGAGGTAGTCCTGGTCTCTGCAACATGTGAGCATAGGGTTGTAGCGACACCGCTCGGCGGATGGAGCGACACCCGCGCTCGCGTGAGGTAATCGAGGCTTCTGCCAACAATTAGCATGAAGTAGTCGCGACACCGTTCTGACGGAAGCGCGCGAGACCACGCGCGGACACTGAAAATCGAACCACATCTATCCACATCATCGTGCGTAATTAGTTGCCTGCGCAGGGCACACTTGTGCGCACGTGCGCGTGCGCGTGCCGTTCCGCGCAGGACGCGGCGGGCACGGCGGCGACGGCGCGGCGACGGCGCACGGCTTGATAAGGCCCCCGACTCGGGTTTCCATGGGAGGAAGCGTTTGTGGACCCCGACTTCCAATACCGATGTTCAGGAATTCTGGGAAATCTCCGAGTCGGGAAATGGCGCCGGGGAGCGCCGAGGAGTGCGATGGAGTAGGGGGCATGTGTTTTTTGGACCCCTGGGACCTCCACAAACGGATTTCCAAGACCTCCAGAAATGTCCACATCGCCAAATTGACACAAATGGCATTAGGGAGCGCCGAGGAGTGCGACGCAGTCGGGGGATGTGTTTTTTGGACCCCCGGGGCTTTCGAACAACGAGCTGACGGGACTTCCGGAAATATCCGAATCGAAAGAAAGGGCGCTGGGGAGTGCCTAGTGGGGGGGGCTTGGAGGTGGACATCGTCGCCGTCGCCGTCGCCGTCGTCGGAGGGCCCCGGAAAAAAGTTCCCGGGGGGAGGATCCCATAGGAATGCAGAGGATCTACATTTCTGAGCGCCATTTCTTGAGCGTATATACTGAGGGCCACTCTGTCAAAGCAGCGAATCCGCGACCTTCTGAGCGCGTATACAAGCTACAGAGAATCCTTTTGTAAAAGCAGCAAATCTGCAATGCCCTTGAGTGCATCTACAGAAGGTCCTTCTGTAAAAGCAGCGAACCAGCCGCTCGTCGAGCGCGTCTACAGAGGGCCCGTCTGTAGAACCAGCAAATATCGCAAGCAACTAATGCCCATGAGCGAATCTACAGAGCATCCCCCTGTAAAAGCAGCAAATCCCGCGCGCCACCCCCTGGGCGCATCTACAGGGGGCTTCTCTGTAAAAGCGCGCGCCCCCCCCCCCCCCCCCTCCACTCCAGAGCGAAGCTTGAGCAAGCTCAAGCCCTCGCTCTCAGAAACTCACACGCCGGATCGGCGGATTTATCTTCTGGCCGTTTTGGACCCAGCGGGGGGCGCCAGAACGCGTCAAATAAGGGGCAGGGGGTCGACGAGAGGGCCCGAGAGACGTCCAAAAGGGCGTCAAGATGCCCCACGAGCTCTCCAAGAGAGCTCAAGACCACACAAGAGCGTTTCAAATTTGGCCCAACATGGCTTGAAGACAGCCCAAGAGGGCCTCAAGACTGCCACGATGCATTCAAAAGGAATGTCACGAGGCCCTCAGGAGGCGAACGAGTATGTTTTGTTTCATAGGTGTTTGGACTGTTCCGGTTATCGTTCTTTCGTGTTTCCGTCGGGCCAAGACAGACCACCAGGCCCCAGGCATCAGCTCAAGATGGCCCAAGAGGCACCCACAGAGGGCGACACGACGGCGCAATATAGTCCCAAGACGGCCCAAGAGTGCCCCAAGACGGCCCAAGAGGCGCCCAAGAGGGCCCCAAGACGGCCCCAAGAGGGGCCCAAGAGGGGGCCCTATTGGGGCTTCTCGGGGGCTTCTCTGGCCATCTTATCGCGTTCCTGGCCCGTCTGACGCCGTCGGGAGCCGTCTTGGAGGCCTCTCTGAACCTACTTGGGGTCCTCTTAGCGCGCTTCGGGTCCGTCTTGGAGGCCATCTTGGGCGTCTTGGAGGCCTCTTGGACTGTCTCGGGGCCCTCTTGGTTCCTTCTTGGGGGCTTCTGGGGCCGTCATGGAGCCATCTTGGAGGCCTCGTGAGCGATTTTGGGCGATCTTTGGGGCCTCTAGGGCCGTCTTGAGGTCTTCGGAAGGCCGAAAACAAGCAAATGCCAAAATCCTCCAAAACCCTACGGGAAACCAATGATTCTGGCCCCTTCGGGCCCTCCTTGACGACCTCTTGGAGGCGTCTTGGGGGGCTCTTGGGGGCCTCTTGGGTCGTCTTGAACCATGTTGAGGCTATCTTGGAGGCATCTTGGGGCCATCTGAGCCGTCTTGGAGGCCATGTTGGCCGTCTTGGAGGCCATCTTGGGCCGTCTTGGAGCCGTCTGGAGCAGGAAACACCCTTGGCAACCACCTCCGGGCATCCTGGAAGATCTTTCCGGGTGGCCGGCGGGACGGGCCGAAGCCCCAGGGGGGAGTTCTTTCGGAAAAAGAACCAAAACCAAAACCGAAAGGGTCTAGCACGCCAGGCACCCTTGCGATGAATCGACAGGGGGCGGCGGATCCTTTGTCCTTCGGCCCATCCCGCCACCGTGCCTGGGTTGTGGGTCTGAGGCCTCTGGTATGTGTTGGGGTGTCGTGGGGGAGCCTTTCGGGGGCCTCTGGGAGGCGGTTTGGGCGCCTCTTGGGGGCTTTTTGGGGCCTCGTGGTGTATTTGTTGGATCTCTTGGAGACCTCCT